TAACACTTGTAAAAATGGATCACACTAGGAGAATTGGGTCACACTTGTAAAAATGGGTCACATTTGGAAAAAAGTGTTGCACTAAAACCCGGCACCAGCGAATTCATTGCTGGGCGGGGGGAGGGTGGTGGAGGGAACCATGGCACTAGCATCAAATCCAGGAGGGAGTAGCAATTCTCCTTGTCTTGAATCAGTGACAGGAACAAGAGAGGACCTAAATATTTTAAAGAATGCGAGAAAGAGGATTGCACGTTATCCACGGGAAACTGGCATACATGTTACCTGTTCAGTTTTTCAAATTACATGTTTGTAAACTTTAGAAATTGATCGTAGAATGAAGGCGTGTGAAAGAGCCATGAGGTTACTTCACGTAGGCTCTGGTTTTTGAAAACTTGCAGGTGCTTTCACCGTTCCGGCATTCGTGTTGGTGACAGAGTATTCTGGCATTCGCCACAGAGGCCCTGCAGGCTCTATAATTTGGTTCGGTTATGTGGCAGGCGTTTCTTGCGTAACAGGACTTGCATACGTCATCAGAGATTGGAAACAATTAACGATGGCCTCTGGAGCTCCAGGGATTTTTTTGTTGGCTTGTTGGTCGTGAGTAACAAGAAGTTTTCTTTTCTATTGTACAAGCTTTGTATTAGACATTTGAGGTATTAATATTTCATAAGTTCCATAGTTCAATCATTTTAGGGAAATGTAAAATTATAATAGTGTTGGTTAAACTTGTAAAATAGACTCTTTCTTGTATCTGCAGAGATTTGAATAGACTCAGTTGCTCAAACCTCTCTATGTTTTTGTTATTTCCCCACAGCCTAACTCCAGAGTCTATCCGTTGGTTTCTAAAGAAAGGCCGAATGACCGAAGCTAGGGAATCGTTAAGTAAAGTAGCTAGGGTTAATGGCAAAAAGATGCCCGATGCAGCGCTGAAATTGCCCAATGACGATTTTTTGGGCAGTCCTAAACACCTAGAATATTATTACAAAATAATACATGACCAGACTGGAGATTCCAGGAACAGCTAATATGTAATTGACGCTAGGTACTTTTCTTATTTGTTGTTATTTTAGAATTGGTCGTCGAAAAATCGTCATCGTGTCGTTTCTCGTGTCCACTGCAGGAGCTATTGGCGCCCTTCTTCTGTCAGACAAGGCTGAAAATGACGAAGGTAATGAGTCTTCTGAGTCTTTACAGGGTTACAGGCTCATTCAATTCCTTTGTTTATAAAGCAACTGGGGATAAAAACACATAATAACTCGTGTGTCTAGGCCGCGCTCATCGTGTTGTGTTTTTAGGCGAGATACGTTACTCTCGCAATGCGCGTCCCCTCTCAGGTATTCAATTGGATACTAGCGAGTATAGTAATCCTGTATTGGAATATTTAACGATTATTCCACGACCGCCCGTTGGACATGAGCTGGTAGATAGCCAACGAGGCGCGCAGCGCCGAGTTGGCTATAATCATCTCCTATCCAACAAGCGCGGGTGGAATAATTGTTTTATTAAAAACGCCCCCAAAATATAGCAAACAAAACTAAATAAAAATGCCCCAAAAAATCACGCGTAGGCTTACCATATTCGTAGAGCATGGTAAAATTTGCCCAAGTAATTAGTGTTTGTGGGTTTGCTTGTTTTAAAATTTCTTTATAATAGGTCACTTGGCTGGAGAAGTCTTCATGTATTTGTTCGTGACTAAGTTAAGTGGAGATATTGCCTTTACATTGGTGTACATTTACTCTGCAGAACTGTTTCCAACAGCAATAAGGTAATAACTAGTATAACTAGTTATGTTGCTATCTTCCACTTTAATGATTGGAATATCGAAACAATAGAACGCCTGGAAGATGATTAAAAGCGTATTGATCAGGCTTGGTGTTAACGAATTTTGCCGGTTCGATTGCTAATCAGGAGAGCAATCTGTCGTTCGGTTAGTCGGCCAGAAATGTACTCGATCATTCAGCCAGACAGGCAGTCTGTCTATCCGTCTGTCCGTCTGTCAGTCAGCCAGCCAGCCAGCCAGCCAGCCATCCAGCCTGTCTGTCTGTTTGTCTGTCTGTCAGCCAGTCAGCCAGTCAGTCACTCAGGTTTGCCAGCTAGTTAATCAGTCAGCCAATCAAGCTGTCAATCACTTTTTCTCTTTCACTCAGAAATGTTGCGCTGGGGACATCCACCGCGTCTGCCCGAGTTAGTGCGTCTCTTTCCGTTTATGCTCCGCTCTTGGTAAGCGATATTTTAAGCTGTTATTAAATTTACAGTCTGGTGAAATGTGACCACAACTGCAAATCCACTCCATAACCTACCAACATATATTTTATAATTTGCGGGACGCCGGCTTCGTAACGCACACACAATTACTTTTATCATTCTTTCCTTCATTCCTTCCTACGATTTCCCTCATCCTCACGGCTTCCTTTCTGCTTCGTTTTCCTTTACTTATTTCCACTTTTTTCCATTCTGTGTACAGCTCACGGTTAATCGTTACCTGCCCTTTGGGATTATGGGCGGCTTATCGCTAGTTACAGCGATTGTGTGCATGACATTACCAGAAACTCACAACGAGCCGACGATAGAAGATTTGCTTCCGGGAGATGGAGAAGACGACCAAAATGAAAATTCTCCTCTGATTTCTCATGAAGAGAAAATGTGAATTCAATGGATAGTATTTCTTATATTACTAGTTATATATGAGGAATTGTTACTTTTCTACTGTTGTCGTAAAAATTTTCACTCAATTTTAACAATAATGCCACTGTTTGGTCCCTTTTCACTTTCCTTTCATAGCCCTTACTGAAAGTTAGTTATTTTGGGCCGTCCTTAAGAGACAGCACTCGAGAAAATCTATCGCTTTAAGGAATTATGAAGACCGCTAGGTGCTTGCTGTAAGCTTGCTTTATTATATAGTATTCGTATAAATCTACTACCGCTCTCTGATTGGCTACGCCCTGATTGGCTCTGATTGGCTACGCTACTCACTATCCTCTTCACAGACGCTTCGAAAACGCCCAGAAGCGGCCGTCATTTTGCT